AATTAAAGATGCTACCCTTCGCACAGTTCAAACACAGTCTGGCAGTGTCTGTTATTCAGCGAATCAAAAGCCAGAAAATCCTCTTCCAGACAAGGTTTGAAGAAGTGTGACAGTGACCCATTTCTCCTGCAACACATTCTAAATAATGTTAAGAATAAACAGCCTCATACCCATGGGGTTTCATTAATTTGGTTAGTAACAATTTTTAACATAAGCCCACACGAGTGTAGGATCAAAACTTATTAAAGAAACATTTTAACGGCTTTCTCCCACTTTATGTCATTACGGTTTGTTTTCTTACATTTATACGATCAATGTGTAAATCAGGATAATGCTCTATGATAACCGTATGACATATCTGGACTTCAAAGGAAAACTACATCAGTTAATCCAGTAAAAAACAGGAGTCTAAACTTCAGGTCAGTACAAGCATTTGTTTAAAAGATTCTTATTTAGTACTTGAGCGTGTTTAATTTAAGCTAGTTGTCTTGCAGAACAGGAGTCACCAACCCTGGACTTGGAAAGCCGCAATCCAGCAGGTGTGTATGAATTAAATCTTTAAATTTAAAAGACTTGGAACAACAGTGATCAGTTAAGCAGCTGATTGTTGTTAAATTATGTAATTTACAGATCTGGAACAAAAATCTCAACATTCTTTGGACTACAGCACCCCTTAACTGAAGGAATTGCTTAACTGATGAATACCTTACAAGTGTTCCCAGTCTTCAGAAACAGCTGAGTTAGGGTGACCTATGAAACACACTGGACTGGAGCCCTCTAGGAACAGTTTGAGACCCCTGGGTCAGACTGACAGACAGGGAATTCAGATGTAATGCTGACTGGATGGAGGCATGGAACGCAGGAGAACTTATATGTCTAAGTAATGTTGTAATTCTGTATTCCATTTATAACAACAGCTGTATCTAACAAATATCCATGGGTGTGCCGTGCTTTATTAAAAACAGGGCGGGTTATCCAACAAGGCAGAGTACAGTCAGGGCTCAATTAACCCTCTGTCTAGTGTACTAGTAAAAACACAGTCAAGGCTCATAAGATAGGTTACTTTTTTTTAGGATATGATAACGGCCAGAAATCTGCATACTGTTTTCAAACCTTCTCCAGCCTGGATGACTACAACACGAGCTCAGGAGGACCTGATTCAAGAGTTCATAATCCTGAAACGCCTTGGTTTTGCACTGACAAAACCAAGCCAGTGAGCTCCTTTTGAATCAGCAGTGAGACACGAAGTGTAAACTACAGGGAAGTGTGTTTAAAATGACAAAGAAGTACCTCTGGGTCTCAAAGGGTCTGTGCGGGCCTCTGAAACAAGCCATGCTATTGAAGGTGACATCCTGACCTCTTTTAAGAAACAGCTAGAGCAGGCACGGACAACTCCAGGCCCGGATCCTGCAAGTTCCACAGATGTTTTCCAAACGGCAACAGATCAAGGACAAAGAAATAGGGGACCTGTTTTATTATACAAATAATGAGTTCAATAACGTGATTCAGATCAGCAGTGGAAATAAAAAAAAAAGAGTGAGCCTGAAACCGTTGAAGACAGGAGTGGCCCAATTTCAATTAAATTAGCAAACAAATGGGCTAGATGGAGAAAAATAATGTCCTGCTCTCATGTGTAACCCTTCTTATGTACTTAACAGACATAATATCCTGTAAAACAGGATTAAATTGATAACAGGCAAGAGAGGAATCATTACTTCATCATACAGCTGATAACCACACAACAAAATTACTTCAAAGTTAGTATCTCTGGCAGAAGAATGCATACTTCTTTAATGCATGCAATAGTCAAGGCCTACTCAGTTAATAAACAACATGAGCAGAATGAACAAAGAAATAACCGATGTAAAGGCCTAGCGGCACATTTACAATTAACATGACTGCTTCAGTTAAGAGGACCAGCAAAAACAAAAGCTGCTACAAAAATGACACAAAAAAAGAGATAGGTGGTCAACAGGCAAAGCTATTTTTGAACAGATGTATTTGGTCTCTTAAGCTGTGGCACTTAAAGTTATCAAAACTTGACTAGCTGTACAACAGATATTACTATTCTTTAAGGAATTTAGTATGTTTGCATTTGAAAATGACCGGCAATTATTAAGGTCATAACAGTGGTGTCGATTTGTGTTCAGAATTTTTTTCCTCTCCTACCCAGCTGATTCCACTGCTACAGTGCAAGGATTAAAATATTTCACAACACCTGTTCTAAGTAATGTGGGGGAAAAAAAAGCCTGAGAGTGTCTTTATTAAAGAGTCTGTTTATGTTAAATTACATTCAATGCAAAGCGCCGAATGCAAACACTTCTAATATCAACAGAGCATAAAAAAGTAAAACAATACTGTCATCTGCTTTACAATATGGAGATGATATGAAAATGGAAAACTTTCCTGCATTGATAATAGACCAAATCAAATTAAGTTTTATTAAAAGCAACACAGTCGTGTCATTACACTAATAATACTCTACTCCCCTGCCCATTTGGATGCACGAGCCTTGGAGACTGTGAACAGGAAAGCAATGCAAATCCACTGCTAACAGACATAACATATGACAGCCTAAAAACAGGACCTGCGAGGCTCGTGTGTCAGCAGGCTCTCAACCCAGCTTAGCTCATACATACAACCTAAATCAGCTCATTATTAGCTTAAGTGGACCGATTTAACAATTTGTCCCAGCTGTTGAGGTGCTGTTACTTTACACTTACTTTGAAGACACAACACTCATTCAGGAACGGGTCAGCACAACCCCTGCTGAAATGTTTTAACTGACACCACTTTGAAAGAAGGCAAGCTCTGGGATGCCTCGTAAAGAAAGGTGTTTCAGAATGCCCTGACGTTAACAAGGACTCTGTCCCAGAATCCGATGGGAAGAATGAGGAAAGCTCACAATTGAAATGCAAAGAAACTTTCTGGAGTGCTGGTAGTAAAACCTCTCAGATTGGTTTAGAAGAAATCAGATACTACACCTCTTCTTCTTTTAGGCTTTAGCATGAGATATACTCTCCTGAGAGCTAATACAATTGACTAGCATAATAAGCCTAGATAGTCCAGATGGCCTCCGCCAATTCTTATGGCCTTTTCATGTGGTTTTAGGTTGTTTAGGTTGACTTTATATTGCTCTAAAATATCAGATAAATCGTTTTCTGTATTGGCAAACAACAGGGCAAATTTTCTGTTAAGCCACAGAAACAGAAGCACCTGACTTATTGACATGCTTTCTTCTTTACCTGATATGCAAGGTCTGGGATGTCTATATTGTGTTTTGGTGCTGTGACATCTCCAGATGGATGTTTGTAATCTGAGACCTTGCATCCACGATTTATACAGTTAACTCCAATTACACAAGAGCTTCTCGTGCAATATGGCAAATGAGGGACAAGATCTGAATGCATTCGAGTTTAGCTGAACTTCTCTAAAGGGCATCTTAAACAACTGCTTCAACACGGATGGTGATAAGGCATCTTAATTTAGATATGGTTTATTATTTGTGTAAAGAATTGTTTGGAGTACTTAAAGGTTTGTAAATCATTCGTATTCATTCTTACTCCACTATTTTAGCTGATCCAGTGACATCCACTTAGGCCTACATAATCCCGTGATCACAAAGAACTGTGAAGAAAATCAGCTCTTGTGAGGTTGTTTCCTTATTCACTGCTCAAATCTGAATAAGTTAAGATATTATACAACTACCAATTCAATCCGCTATGACACAAATCTATTGCTCTCTGTTAAATGTTTCTTGAACAAGCAACATAGAAGGTGTCTTTCCTTTCAATATACACAATTCGCTCCGTCAAATATATAATTGGGATGGTAATGAGCAGCAAAACAAGTCCTAAAATAAGTACGTAAACTTTTCACCAAACCCCCACAATACAGACATCGGCTGGATTTCTGCAATTCCTACATTTAAAATAAGAATTAAATAACGTATCTAATAATATTAAAAAATTAAACAAAGCGCATCAGAGTCAAGGTGGTGTCTGTGTGTAGTTTTTTGTGTTTAATTAAGAACACGAAACTTACAAAAATAAAATCTTAAACGGGTTATAATTCCGTCATCTTTTTTATTTTTAAAGAAAAACATCGCCGGGTTTCACGCCCAGCACACAAACCATGCTTTTGCAGCACTGAGCTGCCGAATACTGAACCTTTTCTAATCACGCCCGGCAAACCAGCCGGCACATGCGCACTCGCCCCTCCGAGCCACTTGCCTAAAACTGTCCAGCGTTAACAAGCATTTCTGCAATATCTGGGGACAAGATGAACAAAACATGAGCACCCGTACAAAACTGAAATCAATTGTGAGAGAAAAACAAATGAGTGGAACACTGACCGAACCTACAGTTTGGCTTAGTACTGATTCAATCCAGAGTTATGAGTTTCTGCCTGCGAGTTCCTGTCTGAAGACAATCTGAAACTGTCGGCAAATATCCACTAACATGCTAACATCTTGCCCGACTTCATTTTTTGTGACCTGCATTTTTTTTCTTATTTCACAGATATACAGCACGAAATACGGGATTTGATTTTATCTATCCTTAGTAGATTTCTTCACATCAATCCGAAACGGTAAAATTGCACCCTTTCTGGTCTAGAGCAAAATAAATGTGTTGCTTTTGCGTTGATATTTTAAATACTTCTGTAACAAGTCAAATGTCAAAACTGCGGTTCCCAATCAAGTGACGTCAGGTTCATGCGAGATCAGGGCGTTTATATGACAAAAACCCCACATCGGCTCCGGCCGAACTAACCTGGTTGAATTTCTTGAATATAAAATGTGTAAAATTCGGATTTTACAAACAGGGGAGCAAAGGAGAAATCCTGAAGAATACTGCATCCCCCGCCCAAGGCCACTGCAGCCGTGTCTGCCAGCGTCAACGGTTGCTGTTCACTACCAGCAACACAAAGATACTCCAACAACTCCCAATGAAAAATCAATCCAAAAAACCTGACATGACCGATCATCACAGACCACTTACCATCGCTTCGTTTTATCTCCACGTAAATGCCGATTACGATCTTGCCGAAATTAGCCGCCATGCTTCATGGGTGAAGGATATTAAATGCGGTGTTAATGCACTGTTTTTATTTGAAACAGACCTTGCTGGTTTAACGCTGCTGAAAACCGGGAGGAGGTCAGTAACAGAAGCAACCGGGAGATGGAGGAAAAATGGCAGAAGGACGCCTGCGCACAGTGCTCGCCCTACAGCCCGTCACGGCACAGCGCAACAAGGTCCTTAAAGGGGAGGGCCGGAAAAATCTGTCGGCAAAACTTAATCCTTTGCGTTCTTTGGGGGATTCAACTTGGTGCATTTACACCTCTACATTTTACCTTGTAAAATTACATCATGTTTTATAATAGAATTGCGAAGAGTGTACCACAGCATGCCATGAATCGCAATTACTGTTAAATTATGTATGATATCCCTTTCAGAAGGATGTAGCTTTAATAAATTTAACCTTGATTTTGATGGGGAAGTCCATTTCATTTGTACAGTTGTAAACAGAATGCAGTGCATTAAAATGTTTGGGTGGAATTCGGTAACTCTTCGATAAAATATAAGGACCTCTTAAAAAGACAGTGTAGTGCTGTTAAAAACAATAACTGTAGATATTGTTCTCATTAGCAGTGAAATATGACACCAGAAGTTCCTGTGCCTTTTGAATAGCAGTTGTAGATCTGTTCTTCTCTGCTTGATTTATGAGTAATTTGGGTTGGAGGTTTCTGGTGAGGCCACTATGGTGACCTATGGCTATGGTTAGCATTACTGGATCTCTGAGTTCAATTCCAGACCTATGGTGCTCTGTGTGTCGAGTTTGTATGTTCTCATGGGTTTCATCTGAGTACTCTGGGTTCATCCCACAGTCCAAAGGCATACTGGTATGTAAACTGGCTTCTGGGATAACTGTCCCTGGTGTGAGTGTGATTGTGAGTGTGTGTTTTTGTCTGTGTCTACCCAGTGATGGACTGGCAGCCTGTGTGGATGTATCCCACCTTGTGCTCTTTGCTATCTCTGATAGGCTCTGGTTCCTCCGTGACCCTGAATTGGATGAAACAGCTAGAAAATGGAGACAAACAGTGGCAGAAGAAACAGCGGACCTTTGTCAAGCAGATTAACCTTTCATTAAAGTTTGCAGAGAGAGATGTTCTGGGTAGACATTATTACAGTACTATAAAGTTAAGCATGGTTTGACAGAAGCTGCATCTTTAAAATGAGCCAAAGAATTAAACCATTACAAGACCATAGCTGAATTGGAATGTCATCAATGCCCTGTGTGAAAAGAATTAAGTTATACAGCCTAGAAAGGAATGTTAAAGAAAAAGAAAGAAACAATTTACCCAGGGATTTTAATTGAGAAGGAACTTGTCTATTGAACTGTGCATGAGGTTCCTAGGTCCGAAGTCTCTTCAAAGCATAAGTTATTATTATTTTTGTACTGTTTCATCAAATAGGTGCATGTTTACTGTTTTGAGAATGATGTATTGTGCATTTAGCTTGGGATCTCCTAATTCTAACAAGAAATGGAAGGATTTCTTGCACAGTAACGCTGTACTGTTGCAGAAGTGATGTGTAAGTTTTACATAGCAAATAGGTGAATATTGTCACAGAGTGAAATGAGCATGAGACGAAAGGTGTCTGGGACTATAATGATCTTATGTTGCATTGAATGGGCAGTGTCACCCTAAATGTTGATGTGGTTTGCTCCTTGCTCTCATAGCTTTCCTTCCACTGATCAAAAGCCCTCTTAGCACAGATGCCGGGCAATTACCACACAAATCCAAGGTGACAAGGGGTCGCTTTACAAATTTAAATGTGCCTGTAACCAGGAAGTGGGTCTCTAGAACAGGGTGTGAATACACAATGTATTGATACAGTACACCTGGCCATCTGTATACAACCAGTTCCTCAACAAGCACTGAGCAGCTGCCTCTGCCCACACCCAAAACATCAAAGGGACACTTTCAATCCCCTGAGATTGAGTCATGAGCCCTTGTCAAGAGGACTAGGGGAATTTTGGAGAAGGAAGGATTGTGAGACAGATTATAGCGTTGGTCCCAGGAGATTACTCAGACACCAGGGACTCTACAGAGAGCAGCTGAGGAAGGTTCTGGCATCATCTTCCACCATCATCCCGTACCTGACCTTGGACTCGGATAAATCAAAGTAGGTGGAGGGGAGGGCATGA